ATATTTGCTCTTTTTGCTCTATTCGTTACTTTATCATGTCTGAGACACAATACCAGACATCTACAAGACAGAAGATTTAACCTGGCTCTTCATTTCAGGGCATTCAGTCTATGGTAAGCTACTTCCAAGGCAGGAACATGGGGCAGGGGACAAAGATACGGAGTTCATGGCCACCAGGAAGCAGAGCAGGGGAACAGGGCCAGAGAGGAAGATGCCAGGGACCATGTACAGTGCCCAAGGTCATGCCTCCCTTCTTCCCACTGTGTCCTCAACCTGGTCACACTCCTAGGACGTGTGTCCTAGTTGTCTCTTTGTGTGTCCAGAATTTCTCTTATAGGGACACAGGTCAGACTGGGTGACAGCCCACTCTCTAACAATCTTATGAACACAGAGAAAGGGAAGAGGTATGAAGATGGAGCCGAGCTGCTCTGTGTTTCAAGGTCAGGAAGAGAAACAGAAACTGGAAAGTCAGGAGTGGCCGATGAGTTGATGGAAACCTGGAAATGTATGATTTCCTAGTAGCAGAGATGCTTCAAGAAAGTTATCACCTACCGTAAAATGTTGCTGAGAGACAAGAAAGATGATGGCTAAGAGGGAAGGTGGCCATGGCATTTAGGGCACCATCAGAATTTGCAGGAGAGCAGCTTGGCAGTTTTGTGGAGAAAAAAGGCAGTCTAGAGTGGACTGTGGATGGGAGAGGATTGCAACAACGAGTATCACCAACTCTTCTGAGGTTTGCCACAGAGGAGAATTGAGAAATAGAAAAGAAGCCAAAGGATAATAAGGGGTCAAGGCAGGGATCATTTTAAGATGGGGAAAAATAGCCATGGTTGTCTGCTAATGGGATCGACACATTAGAAAGGAAGACAGGAATCTCACAGAGGATGGCGGGAGTGTTATCCTTGACAGTAAGTCCCGAGACTGCTTGTGATATTGAGTGGCCAGACCGAACAGGTTTTCTTTTGTTGGGAAACTGCCCGTAGGAAGCAGAGTGCACAGCACAAAGGTGGGAGGTCTGTAGACACAGTCACAATGGTAGTGGAATTTCCTTTCTGAGTCCGTATAGGAGAGGAGGTGGTGCTCATCTGAGGATGGAGGAGAGAGTGTGAGTGAAATCACTGCCTACGCTGGAAGGAAAGTGAATGGTCCAGGGAATCACAGTAAAATTAGCAGCCAGCTCTAAGAGCAACCTTGAACTTAATCACTCCGAATTTAAACTCAGGCCACTCACTATAGTGGTACATTTTTCTCTAGCCAGTTCAGCTAGGAAGATGACAGCCCTGTGGAAATTGAGAGTTAAATTTAAGCAGGGTTGGGGTTTTTCTAGACGTGGTCAACAAGGAGAGAAGACACAAGAGAAGATGATATGAAAAGGAGTGATTCTGACAATGGACCTTAGAATCTCAGCTAAGGAAAAACGCAAAGAACTTAAGTAAAATGGTGATGAAATCATGGGATGTACATGATAGTGGGCCACTATGGAGAAAGAGCTGGAAAGATTAGATCCATGTTTACAGCAGCACAATTCATACAAGCTAAATCTTGGAAGCAACCTAAATGTCCATCAAGAGATGAATAAAGAAAATGTGGTGTTTATACAGTGTGGAGTACTACACTGCCATAAAGAAGGATGAACTTGAGTCATTTGTAGGAGAAGGATACACCTTGAGACCACAGTGTTACGTGAAACAAGACACAATATCACATGGTTTCTCTTACATGAGAAGTCTACAGTGTAAATAAGGAGCAAAGTAAAAGTGAGGTAACAGGAAGTAAGGAGATGGATCTTTTGCAAAAGGGGAAGAGACCAAGAGATGAAGGGGGGTTGGAAAGAGGAGATAAAAAAGAATGAAGATGTAGTATGTACATCTCTCAGCTCCCTACAATTAATGCAATCATTATGCAAACATGTATTAATAAAAACAAAACTTTTTTGAAAAGAAAAGAAAGCTCTTTTCTCCTCTCTCTCCTAATTGTCCGGTTCTATGGCAGGAGCAGGGGTCCTGATTAGTACTTATTTGCCTACTCCCGGTTGTGCCTTTTTAAAGGTTCGTATAACAGACCTTGCTGGGTGTGACCCGTTATTGCGCTACCAACTTGGCAGTGACTCAGGAGACAGCGCTGAGCAGAGAGGGGCTTCACCACCCGAAAAGCAAACCCATTTAGACCTCACCTCGCACTCTCTGTTGTGGGCTCAATCCTTAACCACGTTGAGCCTCGCTTGGCATATGTAAAAGGAAGACAACGATAACCTCCCTGTGGTTATTGTGAAGATCAAATGCAATAAGGTATGTGAAAGTGCTTTGCAAACTAAAAGGCCAATTAACAATAACCTGAAATAGCCCAAGATCATGAATCATCCAGCAAAGGAGGAAACCAAGGACTTTTGAATGGACGTTTGCTTGCCTTTCAACCTGTATGACTAAGCCAGGCATCATGCTTGTCAGACTCCAGCCTCACTCGGTAGCTCTCTCCCTCACCCAGTCTCTTTATTGCATGTTCCAGACCTCTGTGTCCAGGCAGAAAGGGATAAAGATGGGAAGGGAAGGAAGGGGGAGGCAGGGAGAGTGAGGAAGAGAATGGAAGTGATATTTGCAAAGGAATTACGTACCAGGCCCTCACCCAGCCCGCTGTCCTGCGCTGTCCAATGCTGTCCTCCCAGTTTATAGATGGGGAAAACAGATGCAGGAAGCTTCTGTCATCTGAAAGTCACACAATGAGGACATGGAGGAAGGATAGGAGATCGACCTCCTTCTGAATCCAAAGCCCAAGTCTTCTGGGATATGCAGCTAATCCCAAGCAGCCTCTACCCAAGAAAAATAACTTTCAGAGAATGTTTTCTTAACTCAAAGCCTCCATTCCTCCGTGATGCTTAACCTCTTAGAATAAGAGAAGCATGGAATCAAAGAAGCATTTTAGAATACTAAAATTCTTGGGGCAAGATGTTATTGACCCAAAGTGAAAGCCACTTACATTCTGAAAGTGGCTTCCCTTAGAAGCCCTTCTTGGCTTCTCGTTGGCCCAGAACTTCTTCACTACAAGGTTTAGGGCAACATGACAGAGGAAGAAAGGGAAGTGTACGGGCTGCCTCGACTTGCACTGTCAGGCACCTCCGTGTCGAGTTGAATACACATCCACCCCCAAATTTAATGACTTAAAACACTCATGTGTTTCAGTTTCTCCTGGTTCTGAGAGCTAAGCAGCCCTCCTTCAGGGTTTCTCCCTGAATGCACTGTATTGGCTGGCTGGAGGCACATGAAGATAACCAGTAACATGGCCGCCCAACATGGCTCTCCTTCCTGGCCACTGACTGGAAGTTCGGTGAACCCTGCCAATCACAGCCAGCCGTCCTCATGGGCCCAGGGACACACCCAAGTCAGAACAACCTCTACATCCATCCAACTCTTGGCCTTAGAGTTTGCTCCAGCCCTTGCTGGCCTTGTGTGTGCAGCACACACTGTGCTTTCTATTCTGCAGCTATTCTGACTTCTCTTTCCTGGTCCGCTCTAATACTCCTTGCAGAAAGCTTCCTTCTTTCAGTTCTTTCCACGGGGCCGCTCTGGGTCGTCTAGGTTTCATGTTGTGTCGCCCCCTCCGGAGCTTCGCGGGCTAACACATGACTCCTCTGTGCCTCCAAGGCCTTGGTGTGTTTGCCTTCTTATCTACCATCTCTGTCCCACCACTGGAACACAAGCTTCGAGAGAACACTGACTGTCTACCCCATCCCTGACGGCGGCATGAGAAGTGCTGCTGATAGGCTCATATCCACTGCATTGTGGTCACAGCAAGGTCCTGCTGGGTGAATAAATGGATGAACAACTGTGTGTCCTTGCCAAAGAGCACAAACAAATGCTTAGACACTCATGATGGGGCTCTGAGCTGCTGCTCTGGAAAGCTGTGTTATCTTTAGACATTTCTTAGACTACTCCTGCATTATGTCATGGATTTACCTAACTAGTCAAAGATATCCATTGTGTATTTGTAATGGGAAGTTTTCAAACTGTGCCTCTGGGTGCTTTGGGGCTGTGACTCTCACCCCCAGACAAGGCTAAGGGGTGTAAAGGTGAGCGGGAAGCCCTGGCACCCCACCACCATCACGTCCACCAGAACAACAGTCCATTCCTTTCTTTGATCTATGGAGGTTCTAAGATTTAGTTTGAAAAACAATCCCAGTGCTGGAAATGAGAAGAGGCGATCTGTTCCATTCCATTCTGTCCTCTCACGACACTCTTTCCCCAAGCGTGGCTTTCCGACTCCCTGCATCAGAGGCAACGCCAGGCCACGTGGACAATTCTGATTCTCTGGAGGACTGAACTAAAATCTCTGGCTCTGTCACCAGGGAATTTGTATCTCGGGAAATCATTAGGTCCTGGAAACTTTGGAAATCATTGCTTTATGGGGTGAGGACAATCTGACAAAATAGAGAAATAAACCGTCATACACAATAGAACCCTCTTTCCTTTGGAATGACTTCTTACAAAAGCCGTGTCCTTTCTCAGCATATTCAAAGTCTTTTGGAGGAGTGGGCCTGGCTGGCTGGCCCCAGGGTATTCAGACTGTGTACTTCCTTTGCCAGTAGCCCTGATACTTCTCTTTCGCTGGGTGATTGAAGCTAGGCAGATATATGTACACACACACACACACATATCCACACAATGCCTGTGGGCAGTGTCACGTCCAACACCCCCTCCCAGCTAAGTCCTGCCAATTAAGCCCTTCTCGAATGGTATAAGAGCAAGGCCCTTAAAATTCCAAGCATAAAACAGCTAATAAGAGTATCTTGTTCAGCTAAGCAATAAAAAAAAAATAGACAAAAAGCTGCAAAGTTTTCTTGGTGATCATTGTTTAACACTGTACATAATTAAATATTAATGAAAGTATGCTACTTTCATTTTGTGAGCAATTTAATTCAATTAAAAATAAACGGTTCTCCTTGGCTCAGTGGGCATACTGCTCTGTAGCCCTGCCCTTAACTCGGTTTCCACTGTGTTTCCATCCAGCCCAGCAGAGCTCCTGAAATACAACCCCCGGGTGAGGCACTTAACTCGTTCAGAACCAGAGCAGTCCTGGCTGCTAGGCACTTGTGTCGGCCACAACACACGACGAGGTTACAGGTAAGGATGGGTGGCAAGCTCTTGCCTTGTGGGATGAGAAGACAGACATCTCAAAGAAGCCGAAACGGTGGGCATCTCAGAGCTGATTGGATATGGGTTGATGAGATTAAGTATGATATGATTTACATATATATAATATAAATATATATGAGGTGTGATCAAAATATGTGGTGAGTATTTAAACTTCCATGAGATTTTATTACTGTAAAAGACACATTGCCATTAATGCCCTTCAAAGTTCCCCCCTCACATCAAATGCACTAGTCCCAATATTCTTGCCTCTTTCTGAGGCAGCTCTGGAAGTCCACTTTCATGAGTGTCTTTACAAGCTATGATCAAAAATACAGTGAATGCTGCTGCCAAACGCCATCCAGCGGAAAGACAGCCTCCTAAAAACATGACAGTGTGTCCTCATCCACCTTATTCACCCAAATCTGGCACCATGACACTGCCCCAAAGGCAAAATGACTGTGAAAGGTTATTTTTTGGTTTTGAGGTTTTTTTGTACCGGGGATCAAACTCGGGTCCTTGCACTTGCGAGGCAGGCGCCAGAAACACTGAGCTAAATCCCCGGCCCTTTGAAAGGGCATTTTGAATCAATTCAGGACAGTGAGGTAGTTAGACCATGTAATTAAAGATACTCAGGAAAGAGGATTTCCAGAACTGTTTCTGAAAGTGTAAGAACAATAGAATCAGGAATCAAAATGAGGAGAAATATTTTAGCGGGGCAGGGAGTCGAGGGCAATGTGTCTTTCACTGTAATTTTTAAAAATTAAACATTCTCTGTACTTTTCACTCAGAATGCACAAGTAAATACTGCATATAAATAAGTTGAGCTGTACACTTAGGGTTTGTGCAAATTATGCACTTGATCACAAATATTTATACTTCAACGGGAGAAGAAAAGAGACACTTGTTCTGCTCTGCGGGCCGCTGCTCCAGCATCATTAGGCATAAGAAAGGCACCGTGAGCATCCACTTTACCTCTGGCTGGGAGGATTCGTTTTTTAAAACTTAAGGACACTTTACTGTGTGATAAAAGAAAAACACAAATCTTAGTGCATACTTAGGAAGAAACTGCCAAATACGAGGCAGTTAACTTTGTGGTGGGTGCCTGGGGCCATCTCTATGCAGAAGGCTCTGCCAGTACGAAGTCTCCAGGCCAGCGACAGTGGGGAAGCAGAAAGAGGAGACTTCAGGGGCCACAGCAGGTGGCACAGGGCAGAGTGAGGAGTCAGGACCACAGCAAGTCCGGGGCAGCCTGAGAACGCCCTGTGTCATGCTGACGGGGGTAGGCAGCCAGCAGAAAGCGGGGTACCCCAGGCTAGCAGTTATTCCCTGGGAATGGCTCCTGGGGCCTCCTCACAGGTCCCAGAGCCACTGTGATAACAGGCTGCTCTGTGGTTTCACCCAGAAGATCCATGGTTTGGGAATGAACACTAGCATTCCAGAGGCCACAGCTAATAATAACCACGTTATCACCACTGCAGGCTGAGCAGCCGGCGTGTGCAACTCTGGGTACTCAGGCCAGTGCCAGCCCCCATGAATGGAGAGAAAAATGCCAAGCTGTTGACAAAAGTTTGCTGCTAGAAATGAAACCCTGGCAAGAATTTGACAACCTGCACGCATTGTGAATATGCTGGTTTATCTGGCAGGAATAGGAAGCTGTGTTGGAAAACAGTGTATCCTTTTTGGTGCAAGGTCAGAGTCTGTGGGACCTCAGGTGCCACCGCCCACCCCCCAGCCCCATGGGAGAGCAGCCTCAGAGCCAGGTCACCAGATCGCGGGGCAGAGGGAGGCCCCTTGGCTGGTCCCCAACACAGGGAAGACTGTCCTGGCCCAAGTGTGGGGGGCCACATTGCACGCAGGGCCCACCGAGGCCAGCAAGGGGCCTCCCCAGCACCCCACAGGTTCTTTATGTGAGAAAAACACTGGGAGGTTGAGCCCACCCTGAGGGCTACCTCATTCCTGTATAACCTGGGCCAGAAGCTGAACCTCCCCAGTCTTCAGCTCACTCGCCTGCAAAGGGGGCTCAGAATAGCACAGCCACCCCAGAGCCACAAGTTGACAACAGGGACACCCTGAGCACGGGACAGTGCGGATCAGCATGTGCCCCTCTCCCTGACCACCTGCCAGGCACTTCCCTGCTTTATTCTTCTCAGTTACGCTCACCCCTTCCTGGTACACTGTGGCTCTTACTTCCTTATTTATTGTCTGTCTTTCTCAAACCAGGGGGAAGCTCTATGAGAAGAGAGATTGTGTGTTTTGTCTATTACTAAATCCCGAGATTTAACCTTGAATGGTGCCCGTACATAATGGTTGACCTCGTGTGGATTCTCTCAGCCTTAAAATCCTATGTGGGGGAAGCTGCTGGCTCTGTGTGTTTTCAGAAATTGGGGAGATGGGGTCCAGAGAGAATTCCAAATGTGTCTGATCACCCAGCTCATAAGTCAGCCCAGGGCTTTCCCCGAAACCAATTCTGCCTCTGCTCCTGGATATAGAAGCCAGAGGGACCTCCAAGATCAGCAGGTCAACCTGCGCCCTGCTCGAGAGAGAAATGGAGACCAGGAGAAAAAGGGTTGGAGAGCTCCTGACAGAGCTGGGATTAGAACTGGTACCAGCAGGCTCCTGCATGCACGTGCGTGCGTGTGTGTGTGTGTGTGTGTGTGCGCGTGTGTGTGTGTCTTTCGTAGAGAAATTCTCAAGGCGTGTTCTACTAACATGAGAAACCTAAGAAATAAGCACGAGCGCCCAAGGGTGTCGCCATGGCCCTGCAGTGTGCTAAGTCTTTTGTCGTTAACATTTTGCAAATCTGGATTTCGGTTTCTGCTTTCTTCATCCCCCTCCAGGGGATTGGAAAACCTACCCCGGAACAGGGAACCTGGGTCCAGCAGCCCCAGAGAGGCAGAGGCATCACAGAGGGTGGCAGTGGCAGCTGGGGAGGAGGCAGAGACAGGCTCTCTCCTCACCCAGGCGGGCGACGTGGACAGTGAGGGTACCTGACCCACAAACCCACGCCCCTCTACCAAAGCCCTGTCCATGTCTGCCCCATCCTGTCCTCCGGAGCTCATCCGGACGAGGCCCATCAAACACGGGTAGCTATACCAGGCCCATTCACCCCTCTTGACTCAGTTTCCCCAGCTAGAAAACAGAAACAGAATTCTTGGTCCTTTTCCAGAAATGGCGTCTGCGGTGATGATGGTGATGATGATCTCTCAGAACCCTCACCCAGACCCTCCCTCATCATCATCTTGTCTTCCTGTTTCTTAAAAATCCCCTTTGCCACAATCTCCTCGCTCCTCTCTCTCATTTCCAACTCCTCCTCCTCTCGCTGCCCTCCCACCCCACACAGCCACGCTGTGGAAGTGACGAAGAGAAGCCCTCCCAGGGATGGGGAGGCTGGATGGAGCCTCCCGTCCATCTCCCCTGACTCTACCTGCTCACACTCGCTGGAGAGCGCTTGGCCAGCTCTATGAGCAGAAGATCGTGCAGATTATTACAAGTACAAAGAGAGCTGCTGCCTTCACTGGGAAGCCCGGAGAGGAGGCTCCCTGGCTGGAAGAACACAGGGTGCTCCATGGGTGAGAAGGGCGCTGGCCTCGGCCTGCCACCGTTTAGGTGGGCAGTGAGTGGATGCATGGGCTCCGTGCACATGAGAGCCCTCAAGGCTCATCAGATGGATCGGGCTGTTCTTCAGGGGGAAACATTAAATCTTCCGAAGAGACGGATGTGGCCTTGTGATAAGTGGAGTAGCCGGTCCCAATTAAACCCAGCTCTGCCAGCAGACGCGCCTCCAGGCAAGGTAAACATAATCCTTGCTCCTGCAGTCTGGCTGCAGGGGAGCAAAGGCGGGTGGTGGAGCCTGGGAAAAGGGTCTCGCAAGGCTGGAAAGTGGGAGAAGCTACGGTCACCTCTGCAGGCGGCCGACCCACATCACGGCTCCCTGCCAGCTCTGCCCAGGCTGGCTGCTGCCTTGGAGGCTTCTCAGCCCAACCCCGGAGGCCACCAGCTCTGTACTACACTCTCAGCGTGTCCTGACCCTCCAACACTGAGGGTGACGGAGCAGTGTCCTCTGCGTTTCCCAACAGGCCCCATCTTTTCCAGGAACTGCTCCTTTTCTGGGAAGGGCTGGCTGTGCCAGCGAGTGACCCTGCCAGGAAGTGGCCAGACCTATGTGAGGCCTTCTTAGAAGACATGGTGATAAGGTACAAGAGGGAAAAGGGAAGGCTTCGCAGGCCAGGCAGGGTGGCCGCTGGGTCCAACACACTGGCTGCTGGCCACACTGATCCTTGACCACTTGAAAGGTGGCGAGTCTGAACGTATGTGTGCTGTGGGCCTAAAATATACCCTGGATCTCAAAGGAGGAGGAGGAGCTGCTGAGGAACTTCTGTATGCTGATATCATTTATTGAAATGATAACATGTGGGGCTAAATAAGATACAGTACAGTTAATTTCACCTGCTTCTTTCCCCTCCCCCTGAAATATGGCAACTAGAAAACTCTGCCTTCCATGGGCTCGTTTTCTTTCTTCGGGAGAACCCAGCTCTAGAGAATCTTTAGCTGCTCCACATCTGAATCACGCTTCTCTCAAGAGCCCATCCTTGTCTCCTTCTGGGACCCTCTAATGCTAGAACTAAAGTGACATCGGTTTGTGCTTTCATTTTTTCCCAGCACAGGGCCCCTGAAGGTAAACCCATCCCATGCCCTGCAGTAGAAACCCGGCCTCAGCAGCCCCGCCCTCCAGCATCTGGACCGCTTTAGTTTATGACTAAAAGTACCCCTTGCGCTTCCTCCCTCCCACGCCTGTTCTCAGAACCTGGCTCTTTCATGCCTGCCTTGGGCTTAGAAAAAGCAGAATCAATAGGCTGATGAGGACCCAAGGAGACCATCAGACCTGTTCAAATGGTCCACTTGACCCACCCTAAGCAAAGCGCAGCTGCACAGGTCTAATTCTTTTTTAAAAAAGGATCGTTCTCATTTGTTCTCATAGAGTAATACTTGTTTTTTGGTTTTTTAAAAAAACAGGAAAATAGGACCATAAGAAGAAAATAAAAATCATCCACCATTGCATACATCAGGCTAGCCAGTTGATGTTTTAAGGTACAGCCAGCTGACATTGTATTTTTTACAACAAAAATAAAAATTGTATCATTTATTGCGTACTTACTATATCCAGGCATCATGCTAATCATGTTTTAAGCCTATTTTTTCCTAATCATTGCCAAGTAGATTTGGTTGTTATCCCCAGTTTTTAGTTGAGAAAAACTGAGACTTAGCAAAGAGTATATTTCGTGTCCAAAGGCAAACAGGAAGTAAGTGATCCGGCCAGGGAAGCACGGGTCCAAACTGGCTGTGGATATGAAGCCTTTAGCCTCAGTCCTCCAAGAAGAGACCGTCGCTGCCCCTGTGAACCACTTCTCTCCGAGATACCCACTTCCACCGAACCCTCCTGAGCTCGCGGCCATTGCTCTGCACAACTCTTCCGCCACCACTGCCTTCTGTTTATACGTCCGTCCTTTCAGTGATGTCTGTCCCATAACCAGACCACCTTCCTGAGCACGCTCACCGAGTTCCTCTGCTCCGGTGGAGCTTACAGGTCAGACAGACCAGAAATGAGCGAGTCATAACATCACAGCACATCATCCGCACCTCCCACCAGTAACGCAGGGCCACAGAAGCAGCACGGCAAGGGAGACTCAGAGTGATTGGAGGAGCTGTAGGAGAGACCTGTACTATGATTTGCCACTGTTTAACACCGTACATAATGAAACCTAGATGGGACCAGCGCTCCTCTTTGGAGGAGGGGAGAAAACGAGCATTTGGAAGCAGAGCTTCCCAGAGCAGAACAGACGCTGAGCTGGGGCTGGGACTGTGAATTCAAGAAGGGCCAAGGAAGCTTGGTGGGCGGCAGGAGATTAGAGTTGACCAGGACGAGGATGGCCACTGGGGCCTGGGGAGCCACTCCAGAAGCCTGGCTTTTATCCTGAAAGAGAGGGGACACCACCAGAAGGCTTTTAGCAGAGGGGATGATTTATGCCTTAAAAGTGTCAGTCCAGCCACCGTCTCCAGACTACAGGGGAGAGGGAACTCATGGCAGCAGAGTGGCCAGTTGAGAGCTCAGCAGTAACCCAGAGCAGAAGAGCAGGCAGGGGGCAGCGACACAGGTGGGAAACAACAAGCAGATTCTGGATGTGTTTTAGAGGCCAAGCCAGCAGGACTGGCTGATGGATCCAATCTGGGAGAAGAGAGAAAGCATCAAGGGCAAAACCGTGCTTTGCAGCTTGGAGTGCCTGGATAAAGGGGATGGCCATCGACAAAGATGAGAGGACGACGGAATTGTTTGAGGGTGGAGAAAGCAGAGCCTGGTGGGGGCGATGTGAAGTCTGACACCAGCCCGACACCGGCGTCGGTGCGTCAAGTAAAAAGCTGCCCAACATCTGAGCACAGAGAATAGGCCAAGGCTCAGGCCAGGAATTTAGAGTTCTCAGAAGACAGTGTTTGAAATGGTGACCCCGAATGAATGGATCTTGGCAGGGATTCACTGCACAGAGGTGAGATCTTTACTAAAACTTCAGGCCTTCCAAATAATAAAACTTCAAGAGCGGGGAGGAAACCATCAAGGAGAGGGAGGAAGTAGCCAGGGAGGTAAATAAATATCCAGAGGAGAGAG